AGAGGGAGTCAAACTATTTTCCAAGGCACCGGACGGTAGAACAAGAACAATGATGGAAACTAATCAAGGAGAGAAGCAACTTAGAATTAAGGAGAAATTTACTGAGAGTTAGAACAATTAATAATCAGTGGAACAGAAGTTGCCTCCAGAAGTTGTGAATGCCCCAACACTGGAAGTCTTTAAGAAGATGTTGGATAGCTATTTGTCTGAAATGGTATAGGGTTTCCTGCCTAGGCAGGGGGTTGGACTAGAAGACCTCCAAGGTCCCTTCCAACTCTGTTACTGTATTGTATTATTCTTGGCAATTAGAAGAATGAGTGGGAAAAGGTTGCCTCCAGAAGCTGTGGGTGCTCCATCACTGGAGGCTTTCAAGAAGAGACTGGACAGCCATTTGTCTGAAATGCTATGGGGTCTCCTGCTCGAGCAGGAGGTGGGACTAAAAGACCTTCAAGGTCCCTCCCAACTCTATTATTCTACGATCTATGTTTAATTTTCTAAGAGCATAAGAAATTAATAAGAATCTAACCATGAGTCTTTGCGGGAAGCAGATTTCTGGCCCAATGACTTTCTGCTGGAACTAACATTTGCAGGAATGATATCCAATATTCAATGGTTTTCTTCTCCCCAGGAACAAATAACAAATGTGTGTGTGTGTGTGTGTGTGTTGTGTGTGTGTGTATATGTACGCACACACAGATACATACACGCATGTTTTACACGTACTTCTTCTTTTACAACAAACAGGGTTAATTAGCATTAATTAACCAATATCCAATGGTTTTCTATTCCAAAGGAACAAAGAATCTTTTGTTTGTGTATACTATATGTCTAGTGAAGGGGTCGGCAATCTTAAACACTTAAAGAGCCATTTGGACCCATTTCCCATAGAAAAGAAAACACTGGGAGCCACAAAACCCTTCCCGTGCCTGACTATTTCCTGAGCAGCTACAAAACAAGCATATGTGTTTAAATTAAAGGATCTGTTTTCTTCTGAAATGTACCTTTTCTTGGATTTAACCATGGTTGGCCTCCCAGGGGGGGTCGAAAAGCTCAATAGATCGCATGCTGGCGGGTGTCGCACATTGGCAGTTCTGATCCATATTTTGAGCGACAGGGAGCCACAGCAGAGAGACGAAAGAGCCACATGCGGCTCCAGAGCTGCAGGTTGTGGAACCCTGGTCTAGTGTATTGAAGAGAAGGATTAGAGAGGTACTTGAGGGGCTGACACAGGAAGCAGGAGATCGACTTAGTTTCCAAAACACTTGAAGGCACAAGAAGCAATGGGTGGAAGATCATGAAAGAGAGATCCAACTTAGAACTGAGAAGAAATGTCCTAACGGTGAAAACTATTGATCAATGGAACAGAAGTTGCCTTCAGAAGTTGTAGGAACTTCATCACTGGAAGCTTTCAAGAAGAGAGTGGACTGCCGTCTGTCAGAAATAGTGTAGAGTCTGTGTTGGACTTGATGAACTATAAGGTCCCTTCCAACTCTGTTAATCTGAATCTATCTAAGATGATCAAAGCAGGCCTGGGGGCTAAAGCATATGATGAACGGTTGTAGGAACTGGGCATGGCTGGTCTAGTGAAGAGAAGGACCAGGGGAGACAGGAGAGCAGTCTTCCAGTATTTGAGGGGCTGCCACAGAGAGGAGGAGGTCAAGGTATTTCCCAAGGCACCCAAAGGCCAGAGAGGGAATAATGGATGGAAACTGACCAAGGAGAAATTCAACCTGGAAATAAGGAGAAATTTTCTGACAGTGAGAACAATCAACCCATGGAACAGAAGTTGCCTTCGGAAGTTGTGGGAGCTTCATCACTAGAGGCTTTCAAGGAGACAATGGACAGCCGTTTGTCCAGAATGCTATCTCCTGCCTTAAGCAGGGGGTTAGGCTAGATCAGGGGTCCCCAACACCCACGAATCAGCTGTGGCCTATTCACAACTTGGCCGCAGGTCAGCACTCACCCACCCACCCATGTGTGCAACTCAACTTGCACCAGCGGTGGGCCGGAGATGCACACACACACACCTGCAGTCTGACTTGCAGTCGAGCTACGTGTCCATGTGCCCTATGCACTGACCCCCTCCCCCCAACTTCCTGCGAGTCAAGGTGCGTGCATGAGTGCCGGCCTGGATCTTGCACAGCCCAGTTCCAGCTTCTCTTTCCCCCTCCAGCTGCGCTGCCAAGGTGCAAAGATTATGGACCTCTGGACTAGATGATCTCTGAGGTCCTTTGCAATGGAAATGATTCGATGTTCTTTCCCTTGCAGGTACCTGCTCTTCCCATAACACGGCTGTGTCTGTTGGAGCACTTGGGGGCTTCCTCTTGAACAGCGCCTGATGATCTTGGGAGACCTTTATCACAGTCTGAAGCCAGATTTCTCTTTCCTACAATAAATTTCTGACTTCATCTGAAAACTAGCTCGTTTTCTTTTCCTTTTTTATAAAAAGCAACCAATATCTCCCTCACCCCAAAACTGGTTGTCTTCTAGATGTATTGGGCCACACATCTCATCCTGAAGCATCACGAGGACCTCCTGACTTGGAAAATTAGCCTCTCTAGCCCTCTAGAAAGGTAGAGGAGACACGTTTCCCATCAGCTCTAAAATAGTGGAACAACACTGGAAGTTTTTAAGAGGATGTTGGATAGCCATTTGTCTGAAATGGTATAGGGTTTCCTGCCTAGGCAGGGGGTTAGACTAGAAGACCTCCAAGGTCCCTTCCAACACTGTCATTCTATTCTATTCTCTCTCCCTATTCTATTTTATTCTATTCTATTCCATTCCATTCTTCTGTTCTTTTCTGTTCTGTTGTTCCATTCCATTCCATTTTCTGTTCTGTTCTGTTCTATTCTATTCTATTCCATTCCATTCCATTCTTCTGTTTGGTTCGGTTCCATTCCATTCCATTCTTCTGTTCTGTTCTTTTCTGTTGTTGTTCCATTCCATTCCATTTTCTGTTGTGTTCTATTCTATTCTATTCTTATTCCATTCCATTCTTCTGTTCTGTTCTTTTCTGTTCTGTTGTTCCATTCCATTCCATTTTCTGTTGTGTTCTATTCTATTCTTATTCCATTCCATTCTTCTTTTCTGTTCTTTTCTGTTCTGTTGTTCCATTCCATTTTCTGTTCTGTTCTATTCTATTCTATTCTATTCTTACTCCATTCCATTCTTCTGTTTTGTTCTGTTCCATTCCGTTCCATTCCATTCTTCCGTTCCATTCTGTTCCTTTCTCTTCCCTTCCCTTCTATTCTTACTCCATTCCATTCTTCTGTTTTGTTCTGTTCCATTCCGTTCCATTCCATTCTTCCGTTCCATTCTGTTCCTTTCTCTTCCCTTCCCTTCTATTCTTACTCCATTCCATTCTTCTGTTTTGTTCTGTTCCATTCCGTTCCATTCCATTCTTCCGTTCCATTCTGTTCCTTTCTCTTCCCTTCCCTTCTATTCTTACTCTACTCTACTGTA